TGATCGGGCAGGGATATGGTTTGAGTATTGGTGGGTGTAAGAGGTTGTGTCGTCGTGGATGCGGGGCATGGCTTGGTTACACTGCTTTCCCTGTCTGTGTTGGTTAAGGATCGGTCGTTGCATAAGCCATTGAGGCAAGTCACAGATTTATTATCCCGAGCACATACTTGTGTATGGGCGCTTGGAAGACTTGTTGCTCTCTTGTCGTGGGTTCTGGCTCTTTTTCGGACCGACTGTCAGGGTTTTGTTTTGGTGGAGGAGGTCCTTGCACCGCACTGGGTCCAGGACTCAGGGGCAGGGGCTTGGAGTCCCACTTTAGACGGGGACCTAGGACCTCAGGACATGAGGGTGATGGGTTGGTCCTGCTTGTGCCTTGGGTACAAGCGGGGCATGTGTTTTCGGGGTACCCAGCTGGGGACATTGATTCGCGAATCGTCGCCGAGTCGGTACGGCTTGTCTTATGCCTAGCATCGTAGTAAGAACTGAAAGATAAAAGCTGGAATGAAAAAAGAAAATCTGATTGCTTACCACCTGCTTAAAAGTAGCACAGGTGAAAGGGTCGAGATGGCGGACTAGAGGGGGGGTGAATAGTCTTTTCTAAAATTAATCGCGTCGGCTAACCGATATAAATGCGGAATTAAAACAATCGGTCTAGCCAAGACTACACCCCTCTATATATGTTCACTAGCACCTTGCAAAGATACTAATAAAGCAACTAAGGTGCCGGGCTAGCTAGAGCTCTCCTAAACAATTATAGGAGCAAGGTCACACAAACCTATGCCACTAGTACTTTAAGTAACAAGGGAGCTCCTACACATGCTAGTAAGCAAAAGCACAAAGCTAACTAAGCTCACTAGCAATGCTCAATAACAAGGCAACCAACGCCTAATTAGAGAGCGCAAATACTTAGCTACACAAACTAAGCAATGTGACTAACAAGGTTACTAAAACCAAATTAGCCACGCAAGGGAGCTACTTCTATGCTACACAAGCAAGAAGGTAATTAGCTAGCTACACAAGCTATCTAATTACAAGAGCAACTACACAAGCTTAAGATATATATATAAGTAATTGCAAGCTTGTGTAATGGGGATGCAAACCAACGGGAAGAACAAGGTTGACACGATGATTTTTCTCCCGAGGTTCACGTGTTTGCCAACACGCTAGTCCCCGTTGTGTCGACCACTCACTTGGTGGTTCGGCGGCTAATTAGCATCACCCGCTAAGCCCGCACGTCGGGCACCGCAAGAACCTACCCCTTGAGTGAGGGTAGCTCAATGACACGCTTTACTAAAGTTGTTCTTCATGACTCCAGGGCGAGCACAATGCCCCTCACAAGCACTTCTCGGGCGCCAAGCACAAGCTTCTTGCGCGCGCTTCGACGGAGACCACCACCAAAGCCGTCTAGGAGGTGGCAACCTCCAAGAGTAACAAGCACCACCGGCTCGCAACTCGATCACCTAGTGCCACTCGATGCAACCTCACGATGCAATCGCACTAGAATCGCTCACTCACACAATCGAATGATCACTATCAAGTATATGTGTGATGGAGGGCTCCCAAGCACTCACAAGCATGGACACTAAGTCCCTTGAGGTGCTCCACACCACCATGGCCGAGGGCCACTTCTATTTATAGCCCCAAGGGGCTAAACTAGCCGTTACCCCTTCATGGGCAACGGTCGGGCCGACCGGACGCTTTCTGTCCGATCGACCGGACGCTGGACCACAGCGTCCGTCACGCTGATACTCGCCACGTGTCCCCTGCGTTCAACGGTCATCATCCGATCCCAACGGTCATCTGCCCGACCGGACGCGAAGATTTCAATCGACCGGACGCAGAACCCCAGCGTCCGGTCGTTTCGATAAAGCTCCGAGCATGACCGGACGCGTCCGGTCGAACCTTGATCGGACGCAGCCCAAATGTCCGGTCACTCTCCAACTTCTGCGTCATCAGATGTCGGTAGCGGACGGACGCACCTTGACCAATGTCGGCAGTCCGGTGCATTCAGATCCGGCGTCCGTCGGGTTGACCGACGCCAAACATCTTTATGACTAACTCGTTTTCACTTCTAACTTCATCACCCTTGCTCCAATGTGCTAACCACAAGAACTTGCATCCGGCGTAATAGAAAATAGGCATTCTATTTTCCCGAAAGTGCCGAATCCCGCCTCGCAAGCTCGGCGGGAGGGAGAGAGGGACCCAAACCCATCTCACCCCTGCAAACATCACCTCCTTTGTAAATGTGCCAACACCACCAAGTGTACACCACCATGTGTATGTGTGTTAGTATTTTCACAATCATTTCCCAAAGGATGTTAGCCACTCATCTTGCCACGCCACTCGATCCTAGCGACAATGCAAAGTTAGATCACCCGAGTGGCACTAGATGACCGATATGCAAACAAGTTTGCCCCTCTTGATAGTACGGCCATCTATCCTAAACCCGGTCATAAACTTCTCTACACACCTATGACCGGTGAAATGAAATGCCCTAGGTTATACCTTTGCCTTGCGCATTCCATTCCATCTCCTCCAATGTCGATGCAACACATGCACCAACACTATCAACAATGATATGATCCACTTCATATCATCACGTGATCATATTGGTTCATCGATCTTGACTTCACTTGCCCTTCACCGTTGCCATCGTCCATCGGTGCCAAGTCTTGCTCAAGCTTCACCGCCACGCGGTCCATCACTCCAAAGCCTTCGACTTGCCCTTCACGCTTGCAACCGGTCCATCAAGCCAAGTCTTGTCTTGATCTTCTCCACCTTGATCACATGACTCAATGTCATGTCTCATGTGCAATAAGCTCCTTCATCATCACATGTGTGAGCTTTGCAACATCTCCAAGCCATTTTCACCTCCATGGCATATGTTGCTCATACACATGTACCTGTGGACTAATCACCTGTGTATCTACATAAACACAATTAGTCCACCTAGGTTGTCACTCAATTACCAAAACCAACAAGAACCTTTCAACAGGTGCTTACATAGAATTGTTAGTTAATGAACCAATGCGGCTATTAATAAAAATCGAATATAAGGACACACGCTTAATAATGCTTTCTATAAATGCAATAAACCCACTAGCCAGATAGCCTTGCATATTCTTGGAGTCTTTTCTTTCCTCCTGCTGGGTAAGTCTTGCTGAGTACAATTGAGTACTCAGGGTTTTATTTCCCCTGTTGTAGGTGACAGGTGGATGCTAGAGCTGATCCTTGTGTGTGGATACCTCCTGGTGGGCTCAGCGAGAATTTCTTTACGCTGCGATCGTAGTTGTTATTTATAACTCTCACCGAATGTTTTTATAAAAGAAAGTTTCATAATCTGTTGTCGTAGTTTATATGTCAATATTTCGTCATGTCATGATTAGATATTTATTTTCGCTGTAATTCTGATCACATGTTTATATTCTGCTGTTCAATTAAACTGTTTATAACTTCGATAATATGATTACATTCCGTTGTTATAATAATAAATATTATACTCTGATGTTGTATTAAAAGTGATGTAAGAAATGGTTAAGAATGATGTAAGCTTTATTCTCTCATTTATGATTCTGATGGAAAAATATGGTTTTTTGGGTTCTTCTCTAGGGTGTGCTCGACGGAACCGAGTAATTTAGTGTTCTCCCTTGGATGCTTAGTGTCTAATGGAAGACGGGCACTCTTGGGAGGTATTAGATTAGACGATTCAGCCACAAGTACATAACATTTGAGGTAACTAGTTATGACCTTTTCTAAGTATTTTTTCCAATAAAAATAATAATCATTTGAATTTTTCTTAAGTAAAATTCCTTTTTAACTTTGACTAGCAAATGTCCATGTAATTGTAGCATTATCTTAGATGAAAGAGTTATATACTATGAAAGTACTTTTTTTAATGAATCTAGTAATGCTAATCCTGTTTTTTTAATCATGCAAAAAATTAGATATGGCCATTTAAATTTAAAAGATTTGACTTAAAACATTCTAGATAGACTATATAAACGATTAGAGGAAGTAGTAGATTTGATACAATACCAAGAGAGAAGCTTTGGGTAAACTGGCTCGTTCGTGTGCCCTTAAACTCGGTTTGATCCGCTTATTTTTTCATCAAAAATAGTATTTTTCTCTCACAAATTTCTCTAGCATTTCTCTAAACCATCCAAATTCCTCTAAAATTCACACAAGCAAACAGGCCCAAAGCTGGAAGAGCTCCGTAAGTTCCTTGTCGTGTAATCTATTCACTTGAACTTGACAGGGATAATAAATCCTTCGGTTTCTGATGTGTTCTTAGGATAGGAGTGGATGCTCATACGTACGTGCGTCTGGCTGTGTGTTTTAGGAGTAGCTAGCCAGCAGCACTCCTACCTGTGTGTTGGTAAGGTATGTTTAGTTCACGAAATGAAAATTTTTAAATGTTACATCAGATGTTTTGGGATGTCGAAAGAGGTTTTCAGATACTAATAAAAAAACTAATTACATAACTCGTCTGGAAACTACGAGACAAATTTATTAAGCCTAATTAATCCATCATTAGCGCATGTTGGTTACTGTAGCACTTATGGCTAATTATGGCCTAATTAGGCTTAAAACATTCGTCTCGCGATTTCTAACTAAACTATGCAATTAGTTTTTTTTGTCTATATTTAATACTCTATGCATGTGCCATAAAATTTGATGTGACAGTTTGGATCGAAAGTTTTTACTAACTAAACAGGGCCTAGAAATAGAGAAGCTACGGTAGACATAAAATTTCTTGTAGCGCCTATACTCCCTGTACTCTTATTCTTCGTCAACCCCGAAGGCCAAAACCCCCTCAAGGCTTCAACCGAGAGAACTCCAACAGACATCCCCTCCCGACTCCCGACCTCGCGGTCGCGGTTCGGCTTATATACAACACCCGGTCCGGCGGTCCCCAAAGAAAGGCCACAGACTCACACACCACTTCTTGGCTCTCGCTCGCTCCTGCCGCCACGGCCACCTGTTCCACGTCGCCGGCGGCAATGTCGGCGCACCTCGCCGTCGCGCTGTTCCTCGCGTTAGCCGCCGCGTCGGCCCGCGGCTCCGACGTGCCGTCGTTCCCGCTCTCACAGGCGCAGTCCCCGTCCAACTCCTCGTCCCCGTCCAACGCCTCCTCGCCGCCGTGCCACCTCGACCTGTCCGCCGAGCTCTTCGGTGGCGTGGCCGCGGCGTGCGGCGCCGGCGGGGGCCCGGGCTCGTTGGACCGCGGCCGCTGCTGCCCGGTCCTCGCGGCCTGGCTCTTCGCGGCGCACGCGCGCACCGCGCTGTCCGTGCCCCCGGCACCCGCGCCCTCGGCGCTCGCCGGGGAGGAGGGGCTGGGCCCCGGCGGCGACGACGGGCCCATGGTGCCTTACGACAACCAGCGGTGCGTCGACGCGCTGGGCACCGCGCTGGAGAAGCGCGGGGTGGCGCTGCCCCGCCCCAACGCCACGTGCGACACCGTGCTCTGCTTCTGCGGCATCCGGCTCCACCAGATCGGCTCGCTCCGCTGCCCCGCCGCGTTCGCCGTCGGCACTGGCGCCGCCGCCAAGAACGCCACGCCCACCGCCGCCGTGAAGGACCTGGAGAAGAGCTGCCGCAACGCCTCCTACGCCGGCTGCTCCCGATGCGTGCAGTCCCTGCAAAAGGTAAAACCTTTCTTGCTAGCTTTCTCTCGTAAAATAATGCCATTGCTTTGGCGCACTTTTCGGTTCTTGTCTCTTTTGTTTTCGCATTCCGTATAACTAATCTTTGAAATGATACACCGCGCATATCTTGCCTTCTTGGATTCAAATCAAAATCATTGATAGATTTCTACCCCCTGCTTATATATATAGAGGGAAAAACTTTAACAATTTTATCAATTTTTTATACCACTCTTGAAGAGCAATAGTGCGGCGCTACAAGCGATGCCTTTTCTCCTTCTTTCCTTCTTTTTTATCCTAGCAAAAAGTGGCCAGTTTGATGGCGTTCCAAGAGATCCCCTTTCCCACAAAGGGTTCCACTTCCACTGCACTTTCTAAGTGCATCATTGTTTCAACTTTCAAAATGATCTGCTTGTTCTTGAGCTGATCACTATCACTACTAATCATTTGTTACTTGATTGCCTTTCTCTCCGAAAGCCACCGTGGGAAAGGGCAATCCCCAGTAGCTGCAGTGAGTTAGCCCACCAGCTAATCACAGGACAGGACCATTCATTGAACACACATGTGTGGGGAGAAACTATCCTAAGCCGGAGGACAACCACAATGTGCAATGTCTTTTTCAATTATGAATGCTTTAGCTGGTTAATCACCACTTGCAGCATCGAAAGCTGTGGATTATTGAGCAGACCTTGTCCCCGACTTGCCTGTCCTGCATCCAGATCGGCATCGGATTAATCTATGAAGGACATGATCATGGCGAACAATCATCATGCTATCATTATCTTTTTGACCTCGTTCACTTGCTTGCATTGCATGAATCTACTGAAACTAGTTGCAATGCGACCTAATTGGTCGAGAGAACGTGTGTGCGTGCGCGGTAAGAACAGGTTGTTGTGCATGGGGAGCATTTACTGAGAGGCCGAGCAAGCCAGATGCAACGTTCAGTGGTGGAACAGAGCTCACCAACTTTGCAGCAAAACCAGCATCGCAAGAACGTCCCCTGCATGAACCACATTAACTGCGTTTGCGTTTGCGTTTCTTCAGGTTTTTGTTCGCATACGAGCGAGGTCACGGTGCTAACCTGCAGCTTCGGTTGCCCTCCTCCCTCCTGTCCTGTGCACTGTGCAGCTGAAGGGGAACGTGAGCCGCGAGGTCTCGGGCGCCGGCGGCGACCGCGCGCGGCGGATGCTGGGGCGGGACTGCCAGCTGATGGGCCTCACGTGGCTGCTGGCCAAGAACAAGACGGCCTACATCCCCACCGTCTCCGCCGTGCTGCGCGCCATGCTCTACACCGCGCACCCGACGGAGTCCGGCAGCGGCGGCGCGGCGCCGAGGTGCAGCCCCGACCAGGAGAACATGCCGCTGGCCGTGGACTCGCTGCAGTTCGAGCACACCGGCAGCGCGGGCTCTGCGGCTGCCTCCGTGACGCCGCGCGGCGCCCTCCTCCTCGGCCTCGCGCTCAGCCTGATGATCGGGTGGTGGGATGCGTTCTTGGGAACCAATGCAAGAGCGCTGGAGAGGGCGTGGTGGAACCTTGTTGATACACGTATTTTGTACTAGTAGTAGTAGCAGGGAGTAGCTTATTTTGCATAGCGGGGATTTTGCATAACATGGCTGTGAATGCGATGGTGGTGTTGCAGATGGCTGGCTGCATCTGAAAGGGGGATATGGATGTGGCTATTGACATCTCTATTCTCGGTGGTTTCTAATCGTGTGGGATTGACCACTTCTGGTTTTTTTTTTTTTTTGATGAAGTAGTGCACCGTTTGGATGAACTCCTGAGTTCCTGAATGTTGATAGAGAGAACTGTTTCCGAATACACTAGTTGATGGTTAATGGGATACCGTACCGTCATGGTAGTGGAATGAAAATATAGGGCCTGTCTGGCAAGACTTAAATCATGGCTCATCGTCTTCTTCATCTTTGTAGTGCATTTTGCAAAGAGAGTCGTCGTATATTGTCAAAGAGGCCCGTGAGAAGAAATCAAATGTGCGATGTAGCCAATCAGAAGGAACGAATTTACGTTTCAAATGAAATGAAGCATGGACATAGCGATATGAATCTGAAACGAAATGTGCCGGGTTTAAAGTTTAAACGATGGATGCATGAGCTGCTTGTTGGCTCTACTGGGCGTTCTGGCGTAACAGTTCACGAGGTTGGTATGGTACTTGGTGGTAGTGTTGCACTTTTGCGTGGTGGCGGCTGGCGGGCGTCGGAGTCCCCGTGTCGCCTTGTGTAGTGTACTCTCGCTTGTCCGACCGGCCTCCGCTTCGATTTCCCAACTGAAAAGCTGCAGTGATTCGGGAATCGGGAGGGAGGAACCACCACGGCAGTCGGCACGCCACAGACCACAGCGTCCAAGTCCGAAGCCTCGGTCGTGCACACAGTCCGCCACATTGCTTTGGCGCGGCCCGCTGCGTACTCACTGTCGGAGGCCCACCGACGGCACAACAAGATAGGCCGAAGAAGAGCTATGAATTGCACTCGGCCCGCTTCAGATCTCAACCGTGGGCCGTAGCGTCTCACGGCCCACCCAAGGCCTTGTACATGAGCTCGAATACCCTGGGTAAGTTTGGATGGAAGGGGACGCTGTTAACCATGGGAAAGATGGGATGGGGGTGATATACATAGCCCTGTTTGATCCACACAACTAACAATGAATTGATTAATTTTTAGTCTCTAAATATCTAAACAGGCGGACTAATGGTTAGTTCATTAGTCATGGACTAGTTGTTAGTTCACTAGTCCACTTATAGAAGTTAATAGGACTAGTTGTTAGTCCTAGTCCTTCCAAATAGGCCCATAGACCGGTTATTTTTGCGCTAAAAAACGTTGGAATAGAGCGTACGTCCAGCCGGACGCTTCCTTGGTGGGCCGCGACGCCAATCCACATGTCCCCCCTATCTGCTCATCACCGCAGTTTCTAAAAAAATCCGCTCGTCACTACAGTTTTTTTTTGGTTATTTGGATTCTTGCCATTATAATTTCTCAAGTTTTGAAGAACACCATTACTATTCTTCTTATTGGAAATTTGTCATTGCTATTCTGCTTCCCCCTCACCCTTGCCCTTTGCTACGTCTGGAGCGTAGCTAGGCTCACCTGCAGGCGTCGTATTTTGGTATTGGGCCGTATTGCCCCTGTACGAGAGGCAGCACGCCCCCGTTCTTCTCTGCCGCCCCCATTATTCTCTCGCACTCTTCCTCATTCTTCCCCCTTCTCTGATGCACGCCCGCGCCACCTGCCATTGCCGACGTCACCTTCTGCACATCTCGCCGCCGACGCCCACGCCACCGTCCATTCTTCTCCTTTAATCCATCCGACCAAACCCTAACCCTATCTCTGCCTCCCCTGTTCTTCTCTCGCACTCTTCCTCATTCTTCCCCCTTCTCTGCCGCACGCCCGCGCCACCATCCATTCTTCTCCCTTCATCCCTTCGACCAAACCCTAACCCCATCTCTTTCCGCGGCGAACCAGGCGTGTGCAGTGGCGGCGAATCGAGGCGTGGTTAGCGGCGGCGATTGGAGGTGGTGGCAATGGAGACAAACCCTAACCTCACGTCCACTGGAGGTGATGGAGGCACCCTGATGGAGGACAGCTCCGACGGTGATGGAGGACAACGGCAGCAGGTACCCTTTCTGCATCCTTCGTCTCCATGTGGTCAACACAGTTGGCGATTAGTTGCTATTCTGATGATTTGTGCATGTATACACTTTGATTTGGGGATGAATTTACTACTTCTTAGGGGTGGGATGTTTGCGCTAGAGGTTAAAGTCGAAGCTTTTGCTTCCAAAGACTCGACTGGTAGGAAATCATACACAAAAGGCCGAGTGTTTAAGTGGGGTGTGGAGTATGGGTCACTGACATTAGACTTGCTGTTGAAACATCTAGCAACTGAAATGAATCTGTGCACTAACCATACACCCACTGTTTTGTTCTTTGACAAAAGATTGAATGAGGATGTCAGACTAGTTGATGAGATATAGATGGTTGATTTGTTTGAAATGCATAAGGAGGAGATGACCTGCTAGGTTATAGTAGGTGTATTTGATAGTGCAATTTGTGTGGAACCTGGAGCCTCTCTGTGTGGTTCCTCCTAATGATGCAGCAGAATTAGGCACTCATGATGCTAACATGCCTAAACAACCTAGTAGTGGTGGTACTGAGCCAACAACCTTGCCATGTGCTGCTCCTGAGAATCCAGAGGTGGCTGATCAGTTAGAGCCAGATAGAGAGGCAGCTAGAGAGCCAAATATCTTTGATAATGATGAAGAATACGTGGGAGTTGATGATGAGGCCATGTATGATGAAGCGCCACCTACTGAGTTTGCATAGCCACAACCATTTGACAATGCTAACACTCATGCTACTACTGATCCGTCTGATGACTTTGTCCATGTTGAGGCAGAGGTGGATGATGCTAATCCTCTAGAGATAAATGTATTGCATGATCCTGAGAACCCGAAGATTGTGAAGGGGGAGCTATTTCCTGATATCATTGCATTCAGGAAAGCATTAAGACATTATGCTATGAAGACTGGGTTTGAGCTTGCTCCTGGTTACAAAAGTGACAAGCAAAGGTTCATAGCAAAGTGTGCTGCTGAGGGATGCCCTTGGCGCATACATGCTTCTACCATTTTTGATAAGAAAACCGTGCAGGTACATTTCTTTTCTGATTTGTGATGTATCATTGTCTCTGTTAACATTTATTTTTTGATTTTTGATGTATTATTTTCTGTTAACATTTTCTTTTACCCTATGCTATTGTAGATCAAAAGGCTTCCTGCTGACCACAATTGTCCTACCACCAAGCTAAGAGAAGGGAAAATGGCCAGTCAGGGCTGGTGTGCAGATAGGATTGAAGATTGGGTTAAGAATAACCCAACAAAAGGAGCAAAGGAGACAAAGAAAAAATTAGAGGGTGACTTTGAAATAAAGTTGAAGTACTCAAAAGTGTGGTCTTTGAAGGTAGCCTTGGATCAGATACATGGTAAATATGAGGAAAGCTTTCAACTTCTTTTCAATTGGGCTGCACAACTAGAAATAAGTTCACCTAGAAGTAGAGTACAAATAGAGTTGGAGTACAAATAGAGTTGGAGAAGATCGGTAAGAAGAATAGGTTCAAGAGGGTTTTTGTTGTTTTGAAGCCATTCATTGATGGATTCCTAGCTGGTCCTAGACCCTTTGTAGGAGTAGATGCATCTTTTCTGAATGGAAAGTATACTGGACAGTTGGCTTCAGCAACAGGTGTTGATGGGCATAACTGGTCGTACCATATTGCATTTGGTGTGTTTCACTCAGAGACTAAGGACAACTGGAAGTGGTTCCTAGAGAATTTGCACAGTGTCATAGGAGACCCGCCAGGACTAGTAATATGTAGTGATGCTTGTAAAGGGTTAGAGACAGCTGTGGGGGCTATTTTCCCACAGGCTGAAAACAGGGAGTGCACAAGGCACATGTACAATAACTTCATGAACCACTTCTTAGGGGATGTTTTCACTGACCATCTGTATCCTGCTGTAAGGAACTACACAGAAAGCATGTTTAGGTGGCATATGAAGAAAATCTTTGAGTTTGCTCCAGCTGCTATTGACTACCTTCAGAAGCATCATCCTAGGATATGGTACAGATGTGGCTTCTCTGAGGAGAGTAAATATGATTATTTAACTAATAATGTCTCTGAGAGCTTCAATGCTCAGATCAAGGACTTCAAAGGACTGCATATCCATGAGTTAGTTGACAGGATAAGAGAGATGATAATGGAGAAAAGGTACATAAGAAAGAAGATTGCACAGAAATGGGGAGATGGAATCCTTCCTGGTGTCATGAAGGACTTGAACCTTATAAGCAAAAATCTAAAAGTTGTGAAGGTTAAAGTCAGTGATGATGAATTTGTAGAGGTAACACTGCTAGATGACTCGAATAACCATAAATGGCACACAACTGATCTTAAGAATCAGAAGTGTTCATGTAGGGAATGGCAGGTAACTGGCAAGCCATGCAAGCATGCCTTGGCTTGGATCTTGTCCAATAGAGGTATGCAGGTAGCTGACTTTGTGCATGATTATTACTCTATTGCTAAGTTCAGAGTTGCCTATGAAGGTAGAGTAGAATCAATGCCAGACAGATCCCAATGGCCAGAAATTGATCTTGGGTACAAGGTTTTCCCACCATTACTAGGAAGAGCAGCGGGTCGGCCAAAGGTTGTGAGGTAAAGAGGGTGCCTAGAGAAAATGGCCAACAAAAAGAAAGTTAGATGTAAAAGGTGTGGAGGTTTTGGCCACTTCTCCAAGACTTGCAAGCTTGAAATGGTTGGAGAGGATGGTGAGACTGCTAGCACAAATAAAAGATTAACATTAATTTCACTGATCTTCTATCATTTGTATTCTTTTCATTTATCATGGCACGTAACTAGAATATTTGTGTACACAGGAAGAGACCACAAGATGATACTGCTGGACCATCGAAGGTGAAGAAGAATAAAGCACCAAAGAAGAAGAAAACCCCTAAGAAGAAAAAAACACCAATGAAAAAGAAGCAGAAAAAGGATGTTACTACTCCTC